AAAATTTTTATAGATATCAAATTATTATCTATTAAATAATTATTATCGATATATTATTGATATGCCGATTTACCAAATAGCTCTTTGTATTCTCCCTCTTGTCAATACGTTTTCAGAGCTTTACCTTAATTGCGTTATCGTAATAATACAAAATATTAGAAGAGAGATTGCCAGATTAACTGTTAATATTTTTATAAGTTATGTTATATCGAGATTAGTCATATGTTATATATTTTAATCAATAAATATATATTATTGCTTCTCGAGAAATATTATAATCAATAATGTGAATAGTTATACAAATATTAAAATCTTATAAAAGACCATTTACATCTTTTCATAAAGTCTTTAAGACAAATTTAGAATGTTTTAAACAAAGTTTTTAGGATGTCTTTTAGTACAGTTTTAAAAATGTTTTTTGAATGTCTTAGTAAAGTAGACGTCTCTTTTTAATAAATGTGAACAAATTTTCACATTTTGTTTTATATATATACATTTTGTACCACATTAGATATTTAAGCCTAATTCTAAAAATTTAATTATTCACCCATCTATTGCTTCTTTATGTAATCTAATTTGGCGACACTAATTTTGAAAATATAAGCTGCAAAATTTTTATATAAAGCAAATATTAATACGACTTGGTAACTTATAACACCATATTAAAGTAGCAAAAAAAGGGTGAAGTTAAAGAAATTTTTCTCATTCTTTGTTCGTTTTTGACGAATTCCATAGACACACATTAATGCAAAAACGCAATTGCAGAAAAGGATTTCCAAATTTAAATATATCACATAAAAGAAGTATGATGAAAAAGATTATACTCTATCGATAATACAGACGAGTACAGCATCTCCTTAAGAGGTGCTGCACTTTTGTCGACTGTACATATATTTTGTATTTTTTTATTTTTTTGCTCCCCTTAATTTGAATAAAAAATTCTTTTCCAGCATGAGAGAAAATATTAAAATAAATGTGGATAGCTATAAAACAATATGAAACAATAAAAAACCTATATTACAGTTTCCTGTTATTACCTAAGCCACTTATTCAATTGACATAAGTAATACCAATTGTAATAGTGTGTATTCAAGAAACTATTCACCCACATTTATTCAATATATAAGAATATTTTAAGACCTCCTAAATCATAATTTGGAAGCATATAGGAGAAATGAACAGAGAAGTACTATCTGAATGCTGGTATACATTTATGCGAAGTTTAGGAGATTAAGTTCATATGTGTGCAGAAATATATATATAAGTGTATGTATGTATACATAATCTATGTATCTATGTATATTTCAATGTTGCATATGTGTGAACGTTCTCGTCAGAGTTTGCTCGTCAGTTTAATCCTCTTAAAATCAAATATTTGTCAGGAAAATTTCATGTTTGTTTGGTTATCATCAGAAATTGCTCTTTTGACGTAATATTTCGAGACATCTATTACCTCTTTTTATTGCAATATTTACCAATATTAACACCTTTATTATGAATACTGTATTACTCATTAAACTTAAATAATATTAAATAATGTTTTTGTATAGCACAAAAACACTTGTGCAAATTGATATGCTATTCATTATAACTATACGCTAACTAAATTCATATTATATTCAATATCTATGAGATTATTGGAAATGTATCTATAATCAAACTAATGTCTATTAATCGAAACTACAGAATAATTTTCCATACAAAAAACTTTTAATTTTATAGAATAATATTTAGTTTGTTGTTGAAATTCGCGAAATAGCATATTATCTTAACATTATAATAAAATAATTGAAAAGAAAGGAAATAA